ATATACATGAATACCTGGGAAATACATTAGAAATGATAAGGTACTGTAGGATATAGGCTACACCTAATATTAAAATTCATATAGCCACTTCCAAAGCCACAGTGCTTTTGAGGAACTTATTGTTTTTTTTGTTTGTTTTTTTTTTTGATATCCCAATAACTCCTAATAAAGTAAAAACCTTATTCAATTTACAATTAATTAATAACAAAAATTGTTTGTTAGACAGTACACAGAAGGTCAGAGGAACACAGACAATGTGTAATTTGTCTACAGGCAAGCGTACATCTCCGGTGAAAAATAAATGAACAAGTGAACAACTTGGGCTTAAATGGAATCATTCTATTGAGACAGCTTTCTCCACAATTAGTGCTTATTTAAAAAACAAAATTACAAACCCTTAAAAAAAATATTCTGAACATTTTCAAAGCTATATGTGGTGTGTATAGATGTATTATAGTTTCCATAAGTTTCTGTAATGAACAAGCAGACAATGAATACTTTAAAGTGTGGCCTTGAAAATAGCTTTGAATTAATTATAGATTGCTTGGAGCCACGGTTCCCTGGAGATAACTGAGGAGGTTTTAATGCATCCCCGGTGAAATGAGGACTGGTTTAATTTCACTACTGGACCTGTTTCACTTAGTAGAAATTAAAACAATGACACAATGTATTACTGTGTCTCTTTCTTTATCAGCCCACCAATAATGAGAAAAACAGAAAACCCCTGTCACTATAAGTATGTTTTACAAAGAGTTATGATTGACTGAGAAGCATTTGTACTTTCCAGTTGTTACCACCTATAGTGTGTGGGGCAACAATTTACAGTAGCTGGCTATTAGCAGTTAAATAATAGTTATGGAAGTTGTGTTGACATGAGTGGGTGATGCTGTGTTTGAGAGTTGGGGTTTGACTAGTTCTGAGTCAAGATAAGTAGTCGGGACTCTCGCCAGATTCCATCATCGACATCATGTGGCAGCTGTAGCTATCAAATCAAATCAAATCAAATTTAATTTGTTTAGCGCCAAATCACAACAAAAGTCATCTCAGGACACTTTACAAAGTAAGGTCTAGATCTTACTGTTATCAATATTATTACATAGGGAAAACCCAACAAATCCCCCTTGAGCAAGCACTTGGCGACAGTGGGGAGGAAAAACTCCCTTTAACGGAAGAAACCTCCGACAGACCCCGGCT